TTTCTCATTCTTTTTGTAGAAGGGAGCATGGCAATTTCAGTAAGGTATAGAAATTTAGCCCATGATAAGAAACACAGCAAATTAATCTTAGTAAGACTTTTTTGATACTAGTAGAAAATGGTGGGTATTAGTAGGCATTACTGAAACTGCAGGGCTGCGATGACAGAAGACTTGTGCAATGGTGATGACAGGAGGAGGGCAAGCAAAGTAAGATGGTGAAGTCCCTGCTCCTGACCTCCGTCCTACAAGGCTGCTTGTATTTACAGGTGTGCAATCCAACTGGATCCACAGTCTATAAGTAACAGAACAATTTGACGCACTGAGTTCAAGGTGTTGGCAATCTTGTGTGTGTAGTTGATAATTTGGAAGGGGAGCTCGTATTTGCACAAAGTAAATGTATTTCTGCCTCCAAAGCGTCTGGTCAGTCTGACATCTGTGTCTCCTATCCAAATATGTTGTATGCTTAGATGCTGAGATGTGTTTTGATTCTAGTTTTGACCATGTTCTTGTTAAACCAGGGCAACCAGGATGATTAAGGGAATGGAACATCTCTCGTATGAAGAGAGGCTGAGTGAGCTGGGCCTGTTTTCTCTGGAGAAGAGATGGCTCAGAGGGGATATGATTAATATGTATAAGTTCAGGAAGGGAGAATGCAGGGAGGAAGGGGACAGGCTGTTCTCACTGGTGGCCAGCGATAGGACGAGGGGTAATGGCCACAAGCTGAARCACAAGAAGTTCCGTCTCCAGGTGAGGAGCAACTTCTTTACTGTTAGGGTGACAGAGCAGTGGAACAGGCTGCCCAGGGAGGTTGTGGAGTCTCCTACTCTGGAGGTCTTCAAAACCCGCCTGGATGCCRCCCTGTGCCACATGCTGTAGGTGTGCCTGCTTGAGCAGGAAGGTTGGACTAGATGATCTCTAGAGGTCCCTTCCAACCTTAAATATTCTGTGAATCTGTGAATCTGTGAATGGTTTTTGTATGACCACAGTGTGGGTAGATGTATGGTTTTGGAGGAACATGAGGAACCTACTTGTTCACATCTTTTTTCCCTTATCTGCTGAGAGAAAGAGGTCCACAATAAGCTTTCAGAGGGGAAAGGGCCTCTTAAAAATCTTTCTAGTTCTTTTGCCTTGGTGAATTAGTCAGGCAAGACCTTAAATACCATTGTATTTCTGGGCATTAACAGATTGACTTTAGTGATCATTAATCATCCAGCTCATCCTGAGCATTCCTTAGGAATTAAAAGTAAATAGATTTTTTTTTTTTTTTTTTTTGTCAGACACATTTAACAAGCTAGATTCAAGGGTATGGTTAAACCTGATAATTTTCAAATAGCACTTATCTCTTCTGTGGTCCTAGGCCATATTTCCTTGAAGGGGAAAAGAAAAAAATATATATGCTATCATTGTAATAGGAGACAAGATTCAAGTATGTGAAGGTCTTGAAATTTTCACTTCAGTTTTGTTGTGGCAGAAAAATAGTGAAAAACAACATGGAAACTTGTGCCATAAAGCACCTGAGAGGTGGGCAGAACAGAATGGGGCTGAGTGTCCCAACTGCTYTGTGGCATTCTTATTCTACCTTAATCTCTGTGTTTCGGAGAGGGAATTAATGAATCAGCCCTAAAACGTGCCAAATTCCCCTCTCTGATCAAACCATTATCTGTGACTATGACTGGCGGTGACTGCCCTAATTAAAGAGCTGCTGTTGCATGAGACCCCACTTGCTTTCCAGGGTTTTCTTTCCTGTGCTCCATTGATCCGTACTGTTTTGGTCTAATGATTTCTGTCCAGTGCAGTGGCAGGTCTCCTTTCCAGCTACTGAAGTACAACTGGCCTTCCTAAAAGAGTATTTTTAACTTAATGCATTTTAGGGGGTTGATTATTTTGTTACTTCATGCCCTGGAAACAAGGAAACTCCTTAGCATATTGAAAATACAAATCAAAAGAGCTGGGTTCCTACTCCAGATGTGACAAAAGGCTTGCTTGCCTGTCCTTCCCTCCTAGTTGCCTAATGTTGCATCTGACATCAGTCACATACATGTGGCGTCTGATGCAGTAACTTCACATGTCTTATTCTTTGTGGAATATTCCATATTTTTATAGGGAAAAACACAATTTCTGAGAAGAGACTGGAGAGAGAGAGAGAGAGAGAGAGAGAAAGAGAGAGAGGGAGGGAGATGAAGCAGGGATTCAGAACATCCAGTTGAAAAAGGATCCTTGTGTGCAGAATCCTATCACATGTGACTAAACTTTCCGATAAGACTTGGAGAAATTACATTAGGTTAATTATGCTTGGTCAGGGGGGCAAGTGGTTTAGAAATGAACACGTACTCCCCATCAGAGGAAGAGGACATTGGTATAATTAGAGCTTGGGCAAAGTTCCAGGCTTGGACTCCTGACCTGAGCTGAGCCATAGATGGGGCTGGGGAGCAGGAGAGGGTTAGTTATGAGCAGGGGGGGTGTGTTTAGCTGTTGAAATGACAGCAAGTTGTTTGTGCTGTGCAAAAGGGTAAGACAGTGCAGCCAAGAAGAGCTGTGAGAGGGAGTTGTGTGTGATAGTAAGGTTACTCTAGAGAGATTTCCCATTGATTCTCACAGGAGTTGTTTAGAAGTAGATATCTGCACATATTTTTCATTTTTATACAATTGCCTTATCTATAAGAAGTTGAAAGGCAACAGATCTTTCATTAGAATAAAAAACCTTTTGTGGTTACTGTCATATGTTTTTTATTTTATTTTATTTTATTTTATTTTATTTTACAAAATTTGTATTATCAGTTTTTTTTCTGGTTATTTCCTGCTTCAGAAAAATGGAGGATGTTCAATTCAGCATTTTTCTCCCTTTGGAATCGTTTTGTCAGAAGTTGATTCTTGAGAGAGGAACTTTTAAAAGCAATTCTGTCACCAAAGATCATGGAGATGTAATGACTTAAGTGTGGATCCCCAACAGAGTGTACTTGCATCATAAAAACACCAGCGGAACAAGTACTAGCTGATATTTTTTTTGTCATGTATTATTACACAGACCAGAATTTGGTTGCAAATGAATCGATGCAAATATAATTTATATTGGATATCAATCAAATTTGATTCATTGATTTGGATTCCTTTCAAGATGATGCTATGTCAGAAAAATGAATTCTAACCTTATCCATAGCCAAATTGTCATAACGGACATTGCACTTGGAGTAGTCTCTGAGAAGACTGTCTCYGGAGGACAAGGTCAACTTCTGAAGTTCTCTTGTGAAATCATTTAAGATCTTGAACCCTTAAAACCCACTCCAGGGGAAAGAGAAGTTTGCGTGTACATTATTATTCTAGATGGGAGGGCATTTTGCTTTTTCCAGCTAGACCAGTGTCAAGAGACTCGGTTCCAGGGCTTAAGTTGGCCTTTGGTATCTCCTGGTTATAATCCAGCGATCTTATGAATGTGCTTTTGAAACCAGCATCACCCAGCCCTGCTGAGCCCTGCTGAGATGTGCTGCCCTTTGCAGAGGGAAGTGGGCATGCCAGACGGGCAGGGCCTGGAACCCGCTCACCTGGATGTCTCTTGCCTCCAGCTGTGTGAGGGTTGCCCCTGATGACCTCCAATGCAAAAGGAGAGATGCCAGACACACCAGCCCTAGCTGCAAAGTAGGGCAGGTGATTCCTGCCAAGSACCTAGTGCCAAAAGGAGATTGGATGTTGAATTTTATTTTATTTAACGAGTGTGCTCAGATTCTTACACAAAATGTCCCTGGAGAGCTTCTGGCTGGCCACCATACACCGAGTGCCACTATGCCACTGCTGTCACAAAGGTGCTTCTCTCACTTAGTCTCTCTGAGAGCTTAAAGCAGCCTGGTCCCGGCAAGCAGACAGGCACAAGGTCCATGGGGCAGGTTAGGGCGAAGCTGGGGCRGGCGCTCTGGTGACCAAGCTCTTCTCTGTTGCTGCTGATCCAGCACCCAGCATCCTGTCGCTGCCTTCACCTGCTGCCCTGCCTCGTGCCTGAGGAGCTTGGCTCTGCAACAGGCTTTAATTATTTGCTCTCGAATGATATGCCTGATTCTGCCGATTAAGTGAAAAAATGAAGCCCTTAAAAAATATAACACAAATAAGCCCCTGAGCTGTCAAACAACAAGCCCCTTAAAAGGGCAAAATATGCAGCTCTCTGTGGACTGYACAGATCCCTCCTTTCAAACTGCTGGCAGGAGGCTTCCTGTTTGGATGGGCCGTTCACAAGCGGTGTTGTGTGGTGGAATCAGTCACTCTCCAACTCCTCCTTTGGGCCTTCTCCTGCCTGCCTTTCCACTCCTGATACCAAAGCCCTTCAAGCCTGGGTCCTGTCAAGACTAGATGTGGCAGCTTAAACGTAAATCTGAAAACACGCGTTAGCCCAGTGCAGTTTCTCTCCTGGATTCGTAAAACAGCCCCAGCTAGTTACGTGTATTTGGAAATGTGATAGCTCCCTGAGCTAGCCTGGCCATGAGGGGGTGARTTTAGGACTGGAGGTCTGACTCCAGAGTGATGAAAAATGGATTTCTACTTAGTTGTTTCATCATTGGTTTTATTGTGATCAGATGGGATGTCTTGGAGGAATTCTTCCTTTTTTCTTTCTTTTTTTTTTTTTTCCTTCTTAGATAAATCCTCCAGTATGTGGTTTTTTTTTGCTTATTATGCTTTGTTTGCTGTTGTAGTGAGAGAAGGGGAAATATTAGTGTTAAAGAGCAGCATTCAATCCTGGTTACTGAGTGTCACTGCTGGATCTAGCTGCTGAGAAATCCCCCATAGCATTTAAAGCATTTAAAAACCCTCTGGAAGGAGTGATGCTATATTACTGTACAAGAAAACACTAATATTGCTAAAACTCTTGATACCTTTTTCAGCTTGAGTGTTTATTTTGCTTCTTTGTAACTCGAATCTTTCTATTCTCTTATCTTTACATGGGTGATAACCCTTGTAACTGCAGAGAGCTGTACATTTCCAGTGGAGTCTTATTTTTTTATTTCATTTTCCTGCAGAACATGATCAGAAGATAGCATCCTACACCATGACCATGGCTCCACGGAAGAGGAACCGTCATGCGCTGGGGTTTCTTTGTTGTTTTGGGGGTAGTGACCTCCCCGAAATCAATCTCAAAGACAATAACCCCCTCCAATTCCTTGAGTTTTCGGTCCCAATCCCACCAGCAGAGGAGCTCAATGCCAGATTCTCTGAACTTGTGGTAAGTTTTTCCTGGCATGCTGATCTGCTTTTGAGGGTGGATGAACTCCTCCATTTAAAAGAGGTCAGCAGGTCAAGTTTTGGCTAACAACTTTAGGATAAAATCGGCTATGTGATGTCATACAGTGGCAAATCTTGTGGTTTGTCTGTGTATAAAATAAGGACTTATTAGGAGTCCTTATAATAAGGAATTCTATTGATCAATAATGTTCTGCTGGTGAGAAAGAAGAATGAAATGATCTTGATAATTATATTATGATTCTATAAATTGCCTTTGACCCATGAAATGGGRCTGATGCAGCAACAGATGCAAGCAGGGAAGATAGGAGGTATTTCAGGTGAACTTTGTGCCTTGTTTTTTTTCAGTAGATATTGTGAATTAGCAGTAGCAGGCAAATTCTRTTTGTGTTTGGCATCAAAAGGCTTCACTATTTTTGCTCTCAGGTTTTGGCATGGTTGCAAAACAAAGAGATTACAAGACTGTACTGGTTTTGGAGTCTTCACCACAAAGGTGATACCTGATGAACTGTGTCACCTGAGTATCTCGTTATCTGTCTCTGGAGGTTATGTAAACTGAGGTGTCTGGGAGTGTGCCTGAGATTGTGCTACAGAGATGAGGAATAGCAAAGGGAATAATGGATGCTCTGATTAGAGGATTTGACAGCAGTCTTCCTGCATTGCACTTGTCATAACATTAGGCTAGTTGGTCCTTGTCCATTGGTAAGTCTTTACAATGCTATAGCAATAAAAATAACTATGTAACTTGGGTTGGCAGGTGGAGGTGAGCATAAGGAGAGCTGAAATATGCTAGACCAATAGTATGGGGATCTAGCCTAGGCTTTTATTTCCAACAATGATTTAAAGAAAGCAGTTACTTGAGGATGAATATAAGAGATGAGTTTAGAGCAATCTTTTCCCAAATATTCTCACTCCTTAAAGTTTAGAGCTTAAGGATTTCCTCAGTCAGATATTGTATGGATTTATCTTCCATTGACTCCTTTCATCTGCCCTTGAACCTGGGAAAAAAAATTAGGGTTTGCAGTATCCTGTGGCAGGGAAGTGAGAAGGATTCGGTAAGGATTCCTGTTTCAAGAGGAATAGGGAGTGCAGAAGAAGAAAGATTTGACTCATTTCTGATTAACTAGTGGATGCCATGTGTCTTCTTAGCGAGATAGTCTGCAAAATCATGGTCTGAGTTTCTTTGCCTCCTCTGTGAAACTATCTGATTCATTTTGGAAGATGCAGCTGACTGATTCTAGGGAATTCTGCGTGGTGACAGGTTTTCCTCTTGAATGTGAATGTAATGTGTAATCTGCTGCACTATCAGTTTATTTCCTGGGTTTTTTTTTTATATGTGAAGTATTAAGGGCTGTATAAAAGTTCAGCTCTCTTCAATACCAAGATCTATTCAAGCATTAAATCCAGCTTTCCTGAGAATGTCACCAACATGCTTTGCTCTTGAACTTGGCTTACTAAAACTTGAACCTGCTCACATTCAGGTCATATGGAAATAAATGCTTTTATTTGCCACTGAGCTTTACTKACTGAGGATCAATTTCTGTGAGGAGTTTGAGAGTTTGTGGTGGTATTTAGGTTGCTTTCAACTTCTTGGTTTATACCTGGCAAATGTTGCTGTTCCATGTGCTTGTGGCAAAATAGTTCACAGCTGCCCTGTGGCAGTCTRTTAGGCAGTATGATTTATAATGTTTTCAGTGCAAAATTTAATGACAAGTGTACACGATCTGCAGAAATTTTTGGCCCCAAAAGTTTCTGASTTGTTGGTCTATGCTATAACTTATTAAACGTGCTGACAGCCAGTAACTGGCATATATATGTCAAACAAATGAAGCCATTGAAATAAAAATAGATCATATTCATGTTCATGTATTTAATGATAGTAACTTAGCCATGATTACCTAGGAAGTGTGCTGGAAGAGAAACTTGACATTTTTTCAGAAGAGTAATATAACATATTTTGTAAAGCACTTAGATATGATGGTGTGATGCATGTCTTGCGTAAGCAGGTAACACAACAATAATAAAACCTTCCTGAGTGGGAGAAAGTGGGATAGAAACTCGCCTGGCAGAATACAGGCTTTGCCCAGAGGGGCTGTTTTTTCCGCAGTTCCAGATTAATGCATGTTCTATGAGACACTAAAATAAAACAGGCTACATTTGTATTGACAGCTCAGATGAGATTTTAATTGGATTAGAAAGATTCAATCTGTAAATGCGTGAGCATAAATCAGCGACCTGGAAGTGCCTGAGAGGGCTCTGTACGAGCTTCCCCACTGCTTATCCGTTAGGGCCTAGTCTGGATGCGCTTGTACTATATAAAAAACAGATTTGAGTGCAAAGCCTTTTGACCCAAATCCCCAAGTGAAATGATGACACCAACATCATCTGAGATCTGTAATGAGAAAAGCATTTGTGTTAGCTCCCTGGAGCAGGCCCGGAGGGTATAGGCCTCATCTTGCCATCTGCTCTGCAAAGGGTATAATGAAACATAGTGCTGTCTGTGAATGTGTTTTTAAAAGCCCTATTTTCCCCTTGTTGCAGTTAAAATCTGGGGCATTGTCCCACATAGGAATTAATGACAAGAAAAGCTAAGCCTATTTGTTCTGGAAAAGCCTCCCTTGTGATGAGTTTTCCAGTCTGGTAAATATCCAGGGTGTTTCCACTTGCCTTTCTGTGAAAAGCTGGTACCCTGAGGGTCAACAGAGCATCTTCTCTTGTTCATGTGGTCTCTAAATTGATAGCATAAGAAGTGAATTTGGAGGTGTCCATTTGCAAAAGCAGGAGGTTGAGGAATGGTGATGGACTTGTAGGACCCCTTCCCAGCTTATAAAGCAGCTGGTACAGACTCCAGGATGAGGCAGGTGTTTTTGTTCAGGGATTTTGTGTAGGAGTTGGGCCCAGACAAACCAACACAGAATAGCAACTGCTTGACTGGACTCTAACCAAGGCAATGTTTGCCAATGGGCAAGTCGATGATAATCTCAGATGAAATGTCTGTTCTGAAGACAACCCACCTTTTTTGTAGCATGGATTCCAAGYGTTTCTGTTTCCTGAAGCTGGATGTTATAGTTGAGGCCTTGTCTCTTCAATGAGCAAATGGAAACAGAAAGGCTCACTCGTGATCAACCCTGTTATGTTTCAGCGGGGCTAATTCAATCTTGTTTTAGTTTAGTGGGAACATACACAGAGAGCAGGGCTGAAATAAAAGACTATGGCTCAAGGTGACTTGCTCTGGTTTTCTTTGGGCTAAAGTAGGGCGTGAAGTCATGTTAGCTCTCGAGCCATCCCCACTAGACTTGGAGCTAGTGCAGTGACACAAAGTCCTCATCAGAAATCTCTAAGAAATGAAACAAGCAAATGCTTTGCAAGTCCAAGGTTTTTTTCAAGTGCAAGAGGGAAGGAATACCTGGCTTCTGAGTCTTTCTCTCAATAGAGAGATGAGGAAAGAAGCTCTGCACAGTAGGAAGGCTGTGCAGAGTTTTCTGTTGCCTCATATATGATAAAACTGGTCCTGCGTGACCACTGGGGCCATTCTAGTCTGCTCTCCTTTTCCTCAGTCTCTTTTCCCAGCTGGCACTGTATATGCTACTAGGCAGTGAAGTGCTGCTGCAAGTCGGTGGTCTAGTCAATGGGTGCCAAGCTGTTTTTGTTCCTGCTGGCAAAAATGACTGTGCTAAGCACATGTGTTTTTCTTTGCACAGATTTATTAACTGAACAGGAACTGTAGAAGACTCTGGAAGAACTATTGCAAGGCCAGGGGAAATAATATTTTTTCAAGAGGCAGCTTCTCCAAATCCGTTTTCAAATTTGTTAGAAGTGATGTGTTGTGTGTGTGTGTGTGTGTGTCCACCACAGCAGATTCTGATTCTTTCATTCAATATCTGAAGTTTTGAAATTTTCTTACTCATGAAGATTGTGGGTAGCTTGTCACTAACTATGTCCCCATCTAGTTCTCTCTTACAGCAGTAACCTGATCTCAAAGGGGAACTCAAAMCAGGCTAAGAAGAGTAACTGTATATGTTGAAAATTGAGAGAAAACAGAAAAATGTAAGAAATAATAGTACAAACCAAAAAAAGAAGTGTGAAGACCATGTGTGCTTCTGCTGTTTCTCTTTGTTTCTTTTGTTAATGACTCTCTTGGGAGGGATATGGTATTTGAAGAGGTAGAAGTCAACATSATATATCTCAGGATGGAAAGTCCATGAGAAGTCATCTACTGAGTTTCCCTTTTCAGAATTATTGTATTTTTACCGTCTCAAACCTTGCTTAATAAYATCCTTATCTCTGTTACCTACAACATATTAGAATCCTACATTGGGAAAAACTTGAGAAATGCTTACCCTTATCCCCTCTTAGTCCTGGCTAGCTTTGAAACATTCCTGTATTTAGCTCCATTAGGATATTGACTGAATTGCCCTGCYTAGCTTTGTTTCTCTTATATTGCATTTGAATCTAGAGGGGATTGTTTGATTATGTGTTTGTTTTCTCTGGGCCCCAAAATAGTGGGGTTGACTTCATAAATTCCGGAGAGCTCTTTATCCATATTACTATTTATAAGCCTCACAGACTTTTCAGAGTGAAAATGTGGATTTTGTGTCCATAACAGTACCCCTTAAGTTACATAGTAACAGTAAAGGAAAAGCATAAATAGTTTTGAACTATGAAAAAATCAGAATTACCCAGCATTTCTGCTGCTTGTCATCCATTGAAAAGGCAGAGAAGAGCATTGAGATGAGATATGAGAACCGACCATTCTTTAGTTGTTCAAAGAGGTGCTCTTTCTGCTTTTGTGAGAGTGAAGAAGGAGTGTGAATGTTGTCATCAGCACGTTTGGCATCCTCACAAGTTGTCTCATGACACAGACAATGTAGCAGTGGAGTTATAGRGGCCAAATATCCATTAGCTTGGATGAAGCACTCAGTACAGAAGGTTTGGAAGAAGAATTCCATTCTGTGCTTACTCTGGGRCATCTGTCCACATCTG